CAAGCTAATTATGCTAATTGCTAATCAATGCTAAAGCAGGTTAAATTATGTCCCCATCTGATGTTCTAGAAATTTTCTGGAAGTCTTTGTTTTTGAGCTTTGCTGGTGAAGATTCTCAGTCATCCAGGTCAGAGTCGTTCCAAAAAAGTTCAAATCAATCCTCTGGACTTTGTTTCTAAGTTTGAAGACGTTTCTCTTCCATCCAAGAAGCTTTTTCAATTTAAAATGTCAGAAATAGCGTTGAGTTCGAGAGAAGGAAGCCATCTATGTTAAGAAAGTCATCCTTAAACACAGGGGGGGCGCTCAGGTTTCAGTTTCAAAAACCTCTAATGCAGCAATAGAGTCGATTCCTTCCTGCTATCATCGCAGCTCCAACCCCTTTACAGGAGAACAGAAGACCTCACCTATTGAGCCAGGCCAACTGTTCCCTCTAACGACCCCCCCTTTCAGAGATATAGATTTATTTATACTCTGCCAATTTGCATCTCATGCTTCAGGACGTTTAAACATCCAGATCAATCTAAGGAAACTGGCTCAGCTAAGCTCCGTTCATCCATCAGAAGCTCCTTCCTTGTTTCCTTTAGTGTCTCTTCTCAATCATCCAGTCTTTCCCACTGAGCCCGGTTTTGGTTCTTCTGGGTTTTAGGTTCCCATCGTTTACATCGACTTCCAGACGGTCCAAGAACTGGCAGGTTTCTAGTTAGCTAATGTTCTTATTGGAGAATGAATCAATCTGATTTATTTGCTGCTGTCAGGAAACCAAGAACCTTAAAAAGAGAAAAACTGGAAGATGTTTGGTTCTGGGTTCAGCAGCAGGTGAACAAAAACCAACATCAGTTATGGCAGCTCTGCGCCAGCAGGGGGAGCTGTTATATATCTGACTCATTTCAAAACTTCCGTTTTTATCTTCTGTCGGGACCAGTCTTAGCATGGTTCTCCTCTTAAGCCGGGCATCAGCCGTGCAATATTTCCAATCGTTGCACGCAATTACAGCTCAAACTGTACGATGAAATGAGTCTGTGATGCGATCTACCTGAAACTGTATGTCTGAAAAAGTGAAAGTGAGCTCGATTTTAAAATTTCTGGAGAATCGGGCGAAAAGTAGCCTGATAAACCAGACTAAATGTTAGATTAAATGTGTAATCTAGTCTGGCCCCGATGAATGAGACATCGGAAGATTGT